TACAATACAAAATAATTTTATTAAAACATCATCTAATTAAATAAATTTATTTTTTATTTCTTTATGATAACTAGAGAGTAAGTATTATACTATAAATTAACTTTTATAATACAAAACAAATCTTATTAAAGCATTATCTGATCAAATAAATATTTTTCTTTATAATAACCAGTGTGTAAGTATACTATAAATTAACTTACAACACAAAATAAATTTATTAAGCATCATCTAATTAAGTAAATTTATTTTTTATTTCTTTACAATAACCAGCTGGTAAGTGTTATACTATCAATTACAATACTAAATTTATAAAAAATCATCTAATTAATTTTTATTCCTTTATAATAACCAGAGAGTAAGTATTATACTATAAATTTACTTTTACAAAATGAATTTTATTAAAACATCATCTAATTAAATAAATTTATTTCTTTATAATAACCAGAGAGTAAGTATTATACTATAAATTTACAACACAAAATAATTTTTATCAACTAATTTAATAAATTTATTTTTTATTTCTTTATAATAACTAGGGTGTAAGAAGACTACCAATAATACATATATAGATCATACTAAATACAAAAAATTTTATGAGCTCTACACATTTTTTTTATGTATTGCAGCACACATACATGTTAAGTGCCAGATCGGATAACAATCAGAGAATTTTATATATGACAAATAGGGGCTAATTTACATATATATAATAAATATAAAATATTTTGTCACACAAGGAAATTGAGTTGCCCATCGATCTTTTTTATACAATGTGAATTTTTATTTGCCAAAAAAACAAACAATATAATATAAAATAAAAATCAATTTGCTTTAATTGATGCAGGTGAAATTATTAATTCAACTAATTAATATTATTATATTTTTCAGATAATAAAAAAAAGGATGTGTTTGTTACAAATCAAGAATTTGCAGGTAAATGTACTATTGAAAAATTGCATTATTTTTAAATTTTGATTAATATTTTAATAAAATATATTTTTTGTTGATTTAGCTGATCACTTTCCTCTCTCTAAGGGTTGGGCACTTAAAGCTAATCAAAAATTTGGACATAGAGGCTCTGGTAAACGAATGTCACTACAAGTTATACAACTTCTTGAAGGTTTTTTTTTGGCTGGTACTTTAAATAAAAGTGATCATTATGATGCTGGATCAATGCATGCAAATTTGGTTGTAATGGCAGAAGAAGGTAACTTAGATAGAGATGAGATTCCAAAAACTGAAACAATTAACAATTGGATAAGTATATATTCCGCAGCATTCAGAAAAGAAAGTGCAAAAACTGCATTACAATCAAATTCTGGAAGTAATAAGCATAATGGACACTGTAAAATAAGCTATTTCATTGGCCAAATTTTGTCGATCTTATTTCAAATCATCACACAAA